AGAGATTTGGGTTCATTCCAATCTTATCGAAGCACATTAATCTTCTAAAGAATCAACTCCTTTTGGTTTAGTATGCAGTGATCTTTTCTTTAACACCAATCCCTAAGGACTTTCATTTATATGTATTGCGTTAAGAACTGATAAATCTTGTATATACGTTGCATCCTAAAAGCCTTGTCCTTAATAAAGGTAGAAACAAATCTAGAGGGAAGGATAGAAACCTCAAATTATGGATGTCCCTGTGAATTTAATAATTCAAAAGCACCTCTAAGATATTGGCCACCGTGTCTGATTTTGCCTTGCTCATATGGACGGTTCAGTATGTAAGGTACGTCAAGCAAGAATATTTCACTGGATGTTAGCAGACTCCATTTATAAGCTAACAGTTAGCTCTGTTGCACACTGTTGGCACTGTAGGGAAGCGGAGAGAGAAGGCACTCAGGAGCATAAAGGTCACATCCTTTGACAGGCAGCAGAGGAACAAAGCTATGCTACAACCCATTCACTCACTGCTCACACACACTGATTAATACATACAAATAATACGTAAAATGCTTCAAAATGGCAGAAAACAACAGCAAAGCACTAATTGCAACACAGGCTTGTTTATTGCAGTGAGCACATGCATCAATTTCTATCAACATAATCCTCGTCTGAGTGTGAACATACTCTGATCTCATGTCTACCAGCCTCATTTGAGCCTCCCAGCAGCAGCAGCAACCCCGCAGGCTGCAGATTACAGGCAGGAAGACGGAGAGCAGGGCCTCCGCTCTCCTTCATATTTGGAGTTTCTCTGGTTTCGCTAAGAGAGATAAATGTGCTGCTGCTCCTCCCGCTCTCCTCCCGCTCTGGACAAAGCAGCAGCAGCAGCAGCAGCTTCAGTACGAATAATACAGATGGATGTGCTGCTGCATGCGTGCTGTGTAAACTGGGAATTATACGACGGAGAGAAACAAAAGCAACCAAAATGAATTCAGTCCAGCTGCTGTGTGGCTCCCTGCACAGAGTGAGCTGTGTGTTTGTGAGCTCAGAAGAAGACAGGAAAAGAAAAAAGAGGCTTTAAGGCAGTTTGTGTTGCAGTCTCCTCTGTGGTCGAAGGTTTTAGTCTGCTTCAGTGAGCCTGGTTGAAAGCCCTGTGAACCCCCAGACACCAGACTGAGTGTGTTTGTGACGGGAACATGAGCTGAAAAGTGTCAAGTTGTTCATTTATGTATGGTGGTGGTGGGGGGGTTGTTCAGTCATCTTTAATGCTATGCTAACAAAAAGTCGCACTGCGCCCTCCACAGTCTCTCTGCAAATTAAATCTGGTGTAATCGCTGTCAGTTAAGTTCCAGTCAAAGATTTCAGTGCAGAATCCGTCCGGAGAGTTCCTCTGAGACAAAAAGCCCCGAGCGAGAATCACACGTTCACCTCCCTCTCACATCCGTTACATTCACATCATTCCTGAGCTGGAAACAGCAGACGGTCTGAACACACCAGCAGCTTCTTTAAATAGAACAATGGAAGAGCTCTTTATCAGAAACTTGAGTGTTGGTCAGTCAACGGCTGACGAGGTGTTAAGATACGTGGAATTTAAAGGACAAATCACACTGAAAGAGTCGAGCTGTGTCACGTCACCGGACTCAGACTGAAACCAGGACCACCTTCAGTCAGTGTATCTTTTGGTCATTTCATTTTATTTTCAGAAACAAGTACTAAAAAACAAAAAAATACTGCTTTACATAAGCAAAAAAAAATACTTGTAAGTCCAATAGCTGACATGCAGTCGACTACTTTGTCAGACGTTTCTATAAAAAGAAAGTGTTAACACCCTCTAATCAGCCACTAGCCTAGCTACAACCAGGTAGCTCACAGAAGCTTTTACAAACAGCGTGAATGTGCTTCTAGTGACTGTAAAAGCTCCTGCAGACTCCTCCTCAATCTTACACACTGGACCTTTAACGATGTGACTGGAGGATAAAGAGTTAACTTACAGTCTGATGCAGATGAATTATTGTCGTATTTACCCAGCAGCACAGCCTCTTTCTCTGATGCAACCCCTCCTCTCATGATGACCTCACCCCTCCTCTCTCTGCTGTGGTATAGTGAAGGTACACACCCGTTCATCCCCTGTGAAAACACACAAATATTACACACACACGGGCCAAAAACATGAAGCCAAATGTGAAGAACAGAGTCTGACAGGCAGCCACACACACTCAGAAACACACACAGTGGAAAATAACACACTAAGTCTCAACTACTGTACTTGAATACTTGACAGTTTTGAGGTATGGCTGTGAGCTTTTGGCCTGTGACGTCTTACAGAAAGCAGTCTCTGGTACACAAAGAGGTACAAGAACCAATATTTAACGAAAAAAACAGAGAATATAAATTTGTGTATCAGAACTTTGTGGAAAGACTAACAGATGGTTTTGGTGAGTTTTTATTCTGTATCTGTTCACTTTGAACAACAAACAACTACTGTTAGTGGACGGACATTGATGTCCCCAATGATTAATGTTAGTTTACGCGGTGGCCCTTTTCACAAATATTGTTGCATCTAACTTGGTAATATAAGTTGGTGATTGTTGGAAAGACTAACCGAGATGGTTTTTGGTGAGAATTTTTATTTTATTTCTGTCCACTTTGAACGATGTTACAATTATATGCTATATATAAGTAAGATTACCATTTTTGTCTATGGACTCTGGTGGCGCATTTGTCCCCAAGGATTAACGTTGGTTTACATTGCGGCCCTTTTCACAAATATTGTTATGTATAAATTGGTGAATTAAGAATTTATTTCCAACAAACCAGAGTTGGTGATTGTTGGAAAGATGAACAAAGACGGTTTTAGTAAGTTTTATTTTGTTTCTGTCCTGTTGTTTTGCTCTGAGACGTTGGCAGTGGCAAGTCAATTTCAAACCCCTACAAGGAACTTTTATTTTGGCGGCCCCTGTGGACAAAGGTGGTAGTGTTTCTACCGCCTTGTTTAATTGATTTGAAGGTAAATCTAACCTAGACAACCAATATAGACAACCAACCCAGACAACCATATAGAAATCTTCCCTCTGATGGTGTTTGTTTCTGTAGCTCAAACAGAGGCATCAGAATTAAACTGAGACTGTTTACTGGATCCACCACTGATTCATAGAAACACACAGTTCATCCTGTTCATCCAAGAATACTGAGAAACACAGACAAGCACCTAAATAAACACCCTGTACACACATACGCATGCAAACATCATTATTTAATAAAAGGCATCATAGCTTTCCACTCGGAATAGTTTCCAGGGTTTAAGTGAACACAGGTCGGCTCAGTGCAGCATGTTTAATGAACCTGTGTCCTTCTGACTGCAGTCACCTTCCAGTTCAGCAGGTTTGGGGTTAAAAGTACATCCTCCATGTATGTACGTACGTAAGCTCTCTGAGAGGCAGTAAAGTGCTGCGAGAGCCAGCGGACGCCTGAACGCTCTCCACTCACTCACTAATGTTTCTGGTCACTGCAACATTCATGAACTCTGACCTCTGAGGCAGCGTTGGACTTTATACCGTTTGCAGAGCTCTAGAGTCTGTTAAAAATGTATTTTATATGCTACAAATATGCAAGAAAAGCTGTGTTTCAGTGAGTCATCTGCCCGCCATGTCTGTTGTTCATGGCCAGTTGAGAAACAACCTTCTCATCTCGTTCTGAGCTCTTTTTCTACTCAGCTGTGAGAAAGATAAGATAAAACATCAGTTTTTGAGTGTTCAAGCATCAAATGTAAAAAAAGGAAAACTAACTTTTTCCGTTCTAAACAGCTTTATTGAAAGAACCTGGACCCAGCTATGGAACAAAAAACTATTAAAACTGTTTTATAGAAGTTTCACTTAAAAGTCCATATAAAACAGACACCAGAGAGCTGTTTGCTTCCACATATTTCTGGAGGATAAGGAGGGACTTGGTCATGGTAGCCAATAGCACTGAATGTGCAGCTGTAGTGGATCCATTAGCTGACTCTGTCGGATTGGGAGCTCCCAGTGAACAGCAGGTC